CATTCGTTTTTTAGTGATTGTTAGGATAAGCTGACCCTCTTAAAATCAGTAAATCGTCCATATCTCCCGACCGGAAGTGACGACTTACTTATAAAAAATTTCTAATAAGGTTCAGACCAATATCTATCAGATCTGAAAGGTTCGTGAAAATCGACCGAGCCGTTTACGAGAACTGGAGAACTGCACAAAAATCGGTAAGAAAAAAAAATAATAATAGGGAAAAAGAAACCGAACGAAAACAAAAAGGTCTTCCGTTGGAAACGGAAGACCTTAATAATGAGAAAATTGAAAAAGAAACATAAGAATAATAGAAGGGTCTTCCGCTGAAGACGGAGGACCCTAATAGTAATAATAAGAAACAGTAGAATCACTATAAGTTCTTCCGTGAAGACGGAAGACCTTAATGAAACAGAGTAAAAACAATATGTTCCCCAACTTCGTTTGGGGATCATAAATATGATTATCGAAAAGAGCAAAGCGCCCGGGAATAGTCAAAAGATGCAAATGCACTAAGAAAGTGTTAAATGCTATTTTCTTTTATTTTCTTTTTTTTCTTTTTTATTTTAACAGCAAAGGTCCCGTGGCTCGGATTCCTATTATGAAAGGTCGTTCGATAACTGGACGAGTCTATAAAGAAAAAGTTTTACAAAAGGTTTAAAAGTGTATGAAAGGAAGAGACCAAAGTCTGGTATCCGTTACATCAACTTCCTCCATGACAATGCTCCAGCACACACGTCACATATAGTAAAATAATTTTTAGAGAAGGAAAAAGTTAATGTTTAACAACACCCGCCTTATTCACCTGACCTGTCTCCCTATGGCTTTTTTTTTTTCCAAAGTTAAAAAAACACCTCTCAGGAAAAAAAGTACAACTCTAGGAACGCCATTGGATCTGCTATATTTCAGTATATGAAGGGCATACCCCAATTTGTGTATAAAAAGCCATTTAGGAACTGGATAAAAAGGTTGCAAAAATGTGTTTCTGTTAAAGGAGAGTATTTTGAAGGAAATCATTGAAAAAATAAAACATTGACAATTCTTTTTAATTCCTTTTTTAACACCGAGGACATTATTTATTGAACAGCCCTCGTATAATCACAGTGGCCACATTTTGTCGTGTCGTTGGTCAATATGCTCTAAAACTTCTTCAGGAGTCTGGAACATCTCGATACAAAGTGGACATTTTTGCATGGCGGTTACTTTCCTTACGGTATTCTTCGTCCTCGCCATCCGACTGCAAGACTGCAAATTAGAAGGAGTGGACTGTCTCCCCCTTTGATGTCTTGTCTGATTCCCTCACGTGGTACAACTGAAAATCTTCAAAGTGTCTGGGCTTTCGGCATTGCCTTTGAGATCAGGTGGTCGTTTCGCTGTGTATCTTTGATCTTCGGAAACTCCAGAGTCTTTACCGTCGACGGTCTCTGCGTTGTATTCAATGTACGGAGCACTAATAGGATCAATAATAACGTCAGGAATGTATGGTGTTTCAGTGACATCTTGTTTCCTGAAATTTTGAGTTGTAGGTATTTGACTTTCCTCGCGACTAATGTAAGGCTTTAACCTGTCAACATGAATAACCAGATACTCTTAGTCCTTAATTATCTGATATGTAACATCGCCGAATTTCTTTAAAACTGTGTAAAGGCCCTGTCCACCATATTTGGAACTTCGGTGAAATACCTTTAATCCGCCTCAGAGTATACAACCATACTTTGCTACCGACGTCAAAGTTTGGAAACATATCTGAGTTTTAATCTTTCAAACTTTCTCCCAAATTCTTCCTAGCTATGTCGTCTGCCAATGCCAATGAATCTTCAAGGTGACTAATATATTGGTCTCTCGCTTTCTTCTGAGCTGGCAGTCCAGCTAGTAGTTCTATGGGAAGTACAATTTTTCGTCCAAACGTTAAATAAATGGGAGTAAATCCTGCAGTTTCATGTTGTGCAGCCCTATATGCCAAACTAGCTAATTGCAGGTGATCATCCCAATTTTCTTTGTTGAGTCGACATACGCAGCAATCATATTCTCAAGTGTGCGATTCATGCGCTCGACCATACATAAGATGAAACACATCCTTTAAGCCTGGTTTAATGGTAGCTTGTAGGTCCTTAATGGTGGTTTAATGGTTGTCTTTAAGTCACCATTACGTCACCATTAAGCTCCTTTCAGTAACATTTTCACCACCATTAAGTTACCTTTGAAGTTAATTTTCAATGTTTCCGAGGGTTGAATAGACCCATGAATTCATGTCCAACACGAAATTTTTTACACATAAAATTTAAAATACCCATACCATAAAATACCCTCTACAAGAAAATTTTTACCATACAAAAATATGTGATTTTGGTAACCGATTGATTTTTATCCGATCCTCAGCCAGGAAGGATAACTCCAAAAATTAATATTTAACTTGAAATGCATCAAATGAAGCTTAAAAATGTTTTCATGCAACAATTTTCATTTAATTTATCTTTATGAGATTCGAGCTCTTTGGAAGTTTTATAAAAGGTCCTATAAAAGTTGACATTTGTACCCTATGAAAGGAGAAAAAAATTAATACAGTTTTAGAGAAATAAGATTTTCTTGAATCCAGCCATATATATTAATGCTTATTAGCATAAATAGCATAATATGAAATGAAAAGTGTCTTGCAATGATAACAAAAGCCTTTACATTATGTATTATATGATACATGACGGAAATAGAAGATAAAAAATACCTAAGTATAAAAATCCTGACAATTTCTCTGAGTGCCTGGATACCTATCAAATTTTTAACCTAAAATATGTTTGTTTATCAATTTGCAATGAAAAAATGCATTTCTCATATTCCAATTCGCTTTTTCTGCAAAATAATTGGAGATTTGACAATTTTCTTTATATAATATGAATAACTTTAATCATTAACTTTAAAGAAATACCGTGGATAAATTTACATAACTTTGTGGATTCAGAGATACTTTTATGAGTATGTTTGATTACTTTTAATACTTTTAAGTTTTAATTTTATAAACCTGAGGATCGGACTACCTTAAGAGTTACAAAACATATCAAGGATTGTGATTTTCTTTCAGATATTGTTACACCCGCAAAATACTCCGATATACCGTCATGGAAATTAAAAAATAAAAGTGTTACATATAAAACTTAATCAACGGGAAACAAATTTTGTTGTTTATTAACAGAAATTACCCCGAAATAAAACAGTCTCATAGTTCTACAAGTCGAAAATCATAGAAATTGTTCAAAACACAAAATGAGGAAGTTGTTACATGTAACATATTGTCGCGTCTTTGGATTCATAAGTTTTTTTACCGAAGAAGGAAAAGCAAATGGCATGCAAGAACAAAAGCCACTTTGTGTCTTATCTGGCCATGAGAATATCTGAAAAATCAAAACCGATCAGATTAGGTTGCATATGCATTATTTATCACATGGAATGTTGGTGTCCACGTATTCATTAATTGTGACGTAATTTTCCATCCAGTCAATGCATAATGCAGTCATAAAATGCATCATTTTCTTCACATCCTGTTCGTGTTTAATTCCTTGCTAAATGTAGTCAAATGCGCATGTTTTCTGCAAATTTCAAGAACATTGCAATTGCGATTGCCTCTTTTCTAATATCTTGATTTTCAAAACGGAATTTTATTATTGAAATTGAAAGCACCAAGTGTCTACTTTATTTTGATATACATATATGAAATTGGAAAGATGTTAATTAATTGATATCAGTACAGGGCCATTTTATGCCTAAGATGGTTTTGCTATTTGCATACGCATGCAAAATATATAAATGATGACATATTTACAATACATATATATTCTATCTCCTTTTGTAATTCTTTATATATATAATATATTTCTATAATATATATTATTTATATATCATTTTATTTTATATAAAATCATAATTTATTAATAAGTGATACAAATTAATTTTATGCCATTGAAAACAAAGTTAATGAAAAAATAACTGACTTCAGTTTGAGGCGTCAGGATGAAGTTTTCATTCTACAATTACAAACTGGTCATTCAAAAATTACGCACGTATACTTATTGAAGAGAGAGAATCATAATGTGTATTCTTTGTGAAGAACTTTTCTTCAGGTATCACCATATGTGACCTCTTGATCTGAACCTTGGCGACTGGCACACTTTTACACAAAAATTCCAATTTTTACTTGACCATAACTTTTGAACTGTTGATTCTAGATAATTTCTGCTTCATATTTGCATATTTTGCAACATAATCTTCCTTTTTATACCAACAACATTAGTTATTTGACCTTGACACCTTAAGGATTGCCTTTGTTTTTAGAAAATAAAATTTTAAACGTTGAAATAACTTTACATGCACCGTAAGGGCTAGAACTTTCATAATTCAAATATGTTATCCTTGTCACAAGACCTTTCATTGGACTTCAACAACTTTGCCCCGTTGACATTGACCTTAGAGTTTGACCTCCTTTTTGAAAACTTTAACCTCGACCATAACTTTTGGACGGCTGGTGTAAGGACTTTCAACTTCACAACTTCACTCTATTCCTTGTGACAAGACCTTCCACTGAACTTAAAAAAAACTTTGATCTTTTGACTTTGAACTTTGGTTTTGACCTCCTTTTTAAAAACTGTAACTTTGGTAATTACTTTTGAACGGTTAGGGCTAGGATGTTCATACTTGTCATTCGTAATTTGTATTACAAAGCCTTTCTTTAGAAACCACCAATGATATCCCTTTCACCTTAACTCCTGAGTTTAACCAACCTTTCAAAATCTTTATCTTTGGCCATGACGTTTGAAAAGACTGTGCTTAAATTTTTATATTTCTCTTTTGTATTTCTAGTGAGAAAGTTTTAGATTAATAGAATTTTTTATATAATTTCAGCAGCCTTATTACGTTCCAGGCCACGAACACTAAGGAATGCTGCAAACAGTGTAAAATACGATAGTGTTCCAAATGCCAGGAGGAAAAAAAGTTCTCTTGAAAGACATGTTAAGATGACTTGTGTCAACAGGGTAAAGAAAGATATGTTACGGACTTCCACACTGAAAACAAAATATAAGACATTTACGAAAGGGTGTAAAGTACGTCAGTGTTCTGAATGTCAGGGAGACACGGAATTTTACTGCAACACATGTAAACATGGCCTTTGTTTACAATGCAAAGAAAAACATGCTTTTGATTTTGATACTTTCTACCATGATGTCGTGTTCTACCGTGAGATATTCAAAAACGTAACAAAATACGATACCTGCTTGAGACATCCAAAGAAAATTTGCAAAAAGTTCTGTTATTCATGTGAACTTCCAGTTTGTCCAAAATGTACAGACCATAATGAACACGATGTACTGGACATTTTAACAGCAAAAGCAATAAGATGGCATGAGTACAGTGACATCATTTACGACATTAAAAATGATTTTTTCTGTGAAAGTTTATCTGTTTTGGTAGGAATCAAAACTGATATGATAACTTGTAAAACAGAAATTTCCAGATGCCATTCAGAGATGTCATTAAAAGCCCAGAAACTTAAGCACCTCCTTAAAACTGTGATTTGTGATGTTAGAAAAAGACGCAAAATTTCTGCAAACTTAGAGGACATTGAAAATAAATCTGAACAATCAGCAAATAGACCGGTGAAATTTCTTTCCCTATGGAGAGACCTTGTCCTTAAAAAAGAAAATCCGTTTTATCTCCCCTTTTTCCGGTTTTTACTCTCTACCGAGGCAGAAAATAGGAAGGCAGTGTTTAAGGTTCTAGGAAAAATTAACATTATAGAGAAAGGAAAAAGACAAGCAAGACATAAAAGTGGACTGAAACTCATGGATGTACCCGCCTTACAGCGATATTTCTATGTGAGATGTATAAAACATGTTACACACATTTCTTGTGTGTCACCGAGAAAAATATGTATCAGTGGCCATGACAAATGCATCTTGACAAATTCCAAAGGTAAAAGATTACATCAAGTGACAGATATGCCAAAATCTCATTGGAGATATGGAGTACACACAACGGACCTTCAGCAAAATCTTATTTACATAGACAAAGATTATAATGTTAACAAGCTTTCTAAGAATTACTTGGAAACGTCAACGCTGATAAACAGAACTGAAACGGGACAATGGAGACCAAACTGTGTTTACTGTTCACCTATTAATGGAGATTTTCTGGTCGGCATGGTCAAAGGAAATTCAGGCATAGTGAAACGTTACAATAGCACAGGACAAGAAATAAAGGGGCCGTTTCTCTTATTAGGATTGTATAAATATCCTACCTATATAACAGAGAACTGTAATCAAGATGTAGTGGTGTCTGAATTAAATAATTATTTTAACATTGAAGGTGCTGTAGTGGTGACAAAACTTGACAGAAACCATCGCTTCTCATACAAGGGCCCTCCATCTGGTTTAAGTCTATGTCCACAAGGAATCTGTACTGACGCGCTTTCACACATTCTGGTTTGTGATTTGCACAGTAGCACAGTACAGATGATTGACAAGGAAGGCCACTTCCTTTCACTGATACTGACACAACAGAGAGGAATAAACGGCCTAAGTTATGATAAAACGACACATTTACTTTGGATTGGATTTCAGGGGGGCAACAAAATATGTGTATACAAATATTTAACCAAATATGACCATTTGGCAGGTATTTTTAAAAGTATATTCGTCATAAAAAAAAATTATCATATAAATTATCCCGTTTTAAGCTCACCTGAGCCGAAGTGAGCTTTTCTGATCAAATTTTGTCCGGCGTCCGTCTGTCCGTCTGTCTGTCTGTTGTCTGTCTGTCTGTCTGTCCAGCTATCCGTCTGTCTGTAAAATTTTCACATTTTCGACTTCTTCTCAAGAACTGCTGGGCCAACTTCAACCGAACTTGCCACAAAGCATCATTGGGTGAAGAGTATTCAAGTTTGTTCAAATGAAGGGCCACGCCCGCACTCAAGGGGAGATAATTGGGAATTAATGAAAATTTGGTGGTATTTTTTAAAAAAAATCTTCTTCTCAAGAACCACTGTGCAAGGAAAGATAAAACTTTTGGAAAAACATCCTCAGGAAGTGTAGATTCAAATTTGTTCAAATCATGACCCCCGGGGGTAGGGCGGGGCCACAATGGCCGACCGAATTTTTACATAGAAATATATAGGAATTTTTTTTTTTTTTAAACTTCTTCTCAAGAATAACTAGTCCATAATTGATCATATTTATATGGAAGCATCCTCGTGTAGTGTACATTCAAATTTGTCCAAATCATGACCCCTGGAGAAAGGGCGGGGCCACAATGGCCGACCAAAGTTTTACATAGAACAATTTAGGAAAATTCTTTAAAAATGTTATTCTTAAGAACCACTGTGCCAGGAAAGATGAAACTTATGAGGAAACATCCTCAAGTAGGGTAGATTCAAATTTGTTCAAATCATGACCCCCGGAGGTAGGGAGGGGCAACAATGGCTGACCAAAATTTTACATAGAAATATATGGCAAAAATTCTTTAAAAATCATCTTATCAAGAATAGGAAAGCCATGATTGGTTATGGGACAACTTTAAGATATAAACTATTCAATAAATCAATTTATACTTGTCCCTAGAAACAGTGCTCAGGTGAGCGATGTGGCCCATGGGCCATTTGTTTTTCTAATCTAATTTTATCTATTACTCTCATGCAAAAATACAAACATAAAATATGGAAATAACAAACAGTAATCTACCTCAGAAAGTCCACTAAATTAATACAAATTATAAGCGGAACAAAATCGGACCTCCAAAACATAAGAAATGGGATCAGATGCCATTGAGGAGTAAGCATTAACCGTCGACCGCCATGTGCTCCTTGTCATGCACTTCTTCATTATATGCCTTGTAGAACATGAGCCCTGATACAGACCTCGTCCTCAAATTTTTAGAAATCATGACACAAATAGCATCAAATCACCGTTTTGATCTCGTACCTTTTATCAGTCTTCTGGGCTTGGCCGAAACGAACCACTCAAGCTTATACCAGGGCCGGGATTAAAACAAAATTACGATATACACGATTTCCGTATTTTATGTTTGTATTTTTGCATGAGACTAATAGATAAAATCACAGTTTATTCTTTCTCGAATTTTATAAAGCAGAATTTCATAACCACAAAATATATCAAGCTCATACATAGCCTTCCCAATCTTTTGCATCTACATGTTTTTAATAAAACAAAATTTATCCGTAATTACTCGAAAATAAAATTCATTGGAATAAACAATTACTATCTATACATAATTCCCTAGCTAGTATTCAATACAATGGTTGTTTCTCCACGGTTTTTATTTTTTATATTTTTAAGGTGATTATGGTACAGGCAGAGATAATGTTGCTGCTGCTGCTTCAACTTATGGAGATGAAAACGATGAGAAGGATGATGATTCTGATGACGATGCTGCTGCTGATACTGCTAATGAAGATGCTGGTCCTGATTCTTATGCTGATGATGCTCATGATAATGATGAGGATGCTGATAGTGAAAGTGATGAGGATGCTGATAGTGAAAGTAATGACGATGCTGCTGATGTTGATATTAATGATTCCGTTGCTGCTGATGATCCTCTAGCTGGTCATGTCCTCTTTGATTGTGCTGATTTAATTGCTGATGATCCTCTAGCTGGTCATGTCCTCATTGATTGTGCTGATTTAATTGCTGATATCGATGTGACTGATAAGGGTGCTGATGTAGTGATTGTAAACAATAACAATGTGATAACGCTGAGAATTATTCTTTTCTTATCCTTTTTTCTTCTCATTTCTCATCTATATTTTTTCATACTAAACCCAGAAGAATTTTAGGGGACAACTACAATGGCTTGAACTTTGGTGATCGGGGGGGGGGACACTCCTATTGTACACCAACTAGCACTTCAAATTAATGTGGAGGTTGTTTCATAGTATTTATTAATATCGGCTGATCATCAATTAATTATAAACTGATGCATCAGCCGATCTGACGAGCTTGGGCGCACCTCCTTCCTTACTTGTTATATATACCTATGTTGAATTACAAAGATTGAATGTGTTATGTTTTCCTAGCCAAAATATAAGACTGAGTCTGATCAACATATGGATCAAAGTATTAATTCAAGCTGATTTAAATCCTTTTCTAGACATTTACAATCAATTTATGTAGTTGAAAATATTAGCATCCACAAGTCATTTTACGTTATTTATTACGCTATGTGACAGTATACAAACCTACGAGTTTTAAAAAGCGTATTTAACACATTTCCGTGTCTCTAACTTCAAAAAATCTAATTGAGCTGAAAAGATAAATTGTTAAACAATCTAAAAATTATAATTTTATAATTTTTTTATCTCTGTATTCTGTTTTAATTCCTATTAAATGTTCAAGCATGTTCTGAAATAAAACGTCACGATTTTAGCGCGTCGTAAAAACCGCATTCTTTTATCCCGCTGTTTATAGGACAACAGAGGATATATTCAGATTTCTTTGTTCAATGGTAGATACAGCTGATTATTCTGAATATAATGATACCAAACACGACTAGCCAGATTCGTATATTTGCTATGAATATGGATAGTCAAATGTAGGCATTTTTTCAGAGAGTTTTTTCACTCGTTTGACGAACCGGTTGCATATGTGTTACAATAATAGATCGAAAGATAATCTTCTCCTCTTTAAGAAACTGTGTAGATTTATTTTTCTTACATCGGCGCTAAGAAGCGATCTTTCAAATAACAACACAACATATAGCCAGGGTGAATGATATTTGACGTCATTTTCACGCCTTCCACGATTCCTGGAAATAGTTTTGTAATGGAGTTTGTTTACTGTAACTATAGAAATATTCAGAGGGGGATAACTCTAGGTGTCTTTTTTATGGGGTACCCGAAGGGGTAATTTTAAATATAATAATTTTTTATCTAAGAAAAATACTAATTAAACATGTCAAAAAAATAATAAAACAAGGAACGATGATTAGGACTGAAAAAGAAAACTTCTATAAAGTAAAATTGACGTTATAATTTTGAAGCAATAAAAAATTATAATCATGAGTGAGAAATAAAATAAAAATGTAAGAAAATAAGTATCGAGTGTAAAGTAAAAATACAATATCCTTCTCATTTTTTAAATTAAAAGAAATGTAAATAAATTCAATTGAGTTCATGAATAAATTAGTTTATTGTATTGATATGCTAAATTCCAGAAGATCGTGTTTACAAAATTCATGTCACAGAAAATTTTGTACTTTTGGTACGTGGGATATCTTTTTTTATAACGTTCATTCAGCTTGTCTCACATGATTTTTTTTATCCATTGATATACAGTTTATATCCATACATTGGCATTTTATTGAAACTTAATATATATGCTTTTATTATTTTTATATACAACACAAATGTAAAAATAGTATTTGCCATCTGCTCATTTTTTTCAAAGGACAATAAGGCCTACAAATATTCAAGATTTGTTTTCCATGGATGTAGATCATATGCATTTAATCTAATATGTTGTGTAGATTTTATTATTTTACTTAGATTATATTTGACTGGAAAATACTATTTCTGAAATTTCTAAGTATTCTTGATTACAACACTAACAATAAATGACATGCATGTTAGGGCATAAACGTCGGAAGCAAATTGAAAGTGGGGTGGTTGATTGAAAGTGGGGGGGGGGGGGGGGGTTAAACCAAAAAAAAAGGTAAACCACAATTTTCGATGCCTAAAAAATAGCTACCTTTGAAAAAAAAAAGGGGGAGGTAAGACCCCTTTACCCCCTCCCCCGGTTTCGACGCCTATGTAGAATATGAACATATGGATGGGTAGACGGATGAATAGTAAAAATCAAATAGGCAAAATAATATTACTGATGCATCAAAGAGGTCTAAAATTTAAACAAGAAATTAAAATTGTGGTCCCCCAGCTGCATTTCATTTCTGGTATTTTTCACTGAGAGCATCTCGGGCGGCTCATACATCCCACCTCGGAGGTTTGAATGGTGCCTAGCGGAGTCAGCCGAGGATTGCCGATTGGAAATTTTTCGATATTTCAACTTTTCATGGCCGACATGTTTTAGATTTCATTTCTGACATTTTAAAAATTTTCATTTCTGTCCTTTTCAGATTTAACTTTTTGGTTATTAAAACAGGATTGAAGAATTCACTAATGAAAAATTTCATTTACGTGATGAAAAAAAATTTAAAGTGTCTTAGACATTGACATCTAATTTAGTGAACATACATAGGGATGAAAGTGCTGCATGTACCGATGTACTACCGGTATACATGTACGTGTATATACAAAATCTTTAATTTGTTTTACCGACTGTTTGTCTCTATGTGGGTAATATTACATTATATATGGCATATTGTTCCAAATATGAACGCCCTATAATATGTCCTTCAAAAGTTATAACTAAAGTGAATTTTTTGAAAATTAGGTCAAACATATAGGTCCAGAACAAGGGGGTCAGAAATCATATCAATGAACATGTTAAATATGAAAGCATTATCTCTTCTCAATCAGAAGTTATACGGGTAAAATTGCATTTTTGAAAAGTATGTCAAACGTCAAGGTTCAAGGTCACAAGGTCAAAATCCATAGTGTATTTAGAAATGATAATATACATATGAAATGTGAAAGCTCTATACAGTGTATTTCCATCGTCACAAACCACGACTAAAATGTACAATCCTATCACATACTAGTAAGCGGACGCCAAACCGTGGCTTGTGACTTTGTTTCTTTTCTCATTCAAAAGTTATGACTAAGGTTCAAGTTTTTGAAAAGTATTTCGAACTTCAAGATCAAGGCCATGAGATAAAAAATTATTAGGGGCTGCCAGGAGGCGGCCGGTTACTCGATATGAAAGTTTGAAGTCGCCGTGCGTTTCTGCGGACTTAGAACAATTTAAATAAAAATATTTAATATTTATATTATATAGAATATCAAAAAAGCTATTTTAAATGTTTAACAAAAAGCACAATAATCATAAAATCAAACAATGGGTGTAAATGTTTCATCCAATCCTGATTGACAAACTATTACATGACAGAGACTTGAAAGAGAAGAAATGTAGTGGTGGATCTAGGGGGAGTTTTGGGAGGGGGTGTTAACATTCTCTAAGAGAGAGCGAGGAGCCCCACATATTTTATATTTGTTGTGAAAACTACTTTAACATTAAACTTCTTCCAGAGTTCGTTTACAAGTACCAAACTGAGTGCAGATACCCAGAAGTCTATGGACAGTTTGCTTATACAGATACAGTTTATTGTATATGCATTATGCATGAAGAAAATCGGCAATGTCGCATGCACATGTTTTAGGTCACGAGGATATTTTAATATATTTTCTTTATATAAATGTAAGAAATTTTAAAAACAGATCACACAAAATTCAGTTTCTTATTACTATTATAATATCAAAAGAACAATTAATTGGGTTTGCGGCCGATTTTTGACGCTTGCGACAATATATAGGTTTCTTGTAGTGTATTTAGAAAGGTCTTGTCACACATGAATAATATAAAATTCTATTTCTTCTCTGTTCTAATTCTAAAGAAATGACCAAACTTTGAATTTTTGTGACATACGAACAGATTTACGGTCTGACTGACAAACAGTCAGACGAATAAGATTGTTAAGTCGAGGCTTAGTTTTTTGACATGTCAAAAAACTGAGCTGCGATCTATTTTTCAGGAAGACCATTCTTCGACTTTGAGCGACCACATAAGACCGAGGCGTGACCACTTCGCGGTCAACCTTCGACTTCGTGCGATCTTCAGCGATCAAGCCACGCTCTTAGATCGCAACTCAGTCTTCCGGGAAGAATTTTTGGTGAAATGGCCCTATCTTAACCTCGATCGCTTTCGCAAAAGCGGGGCAAATCAAATGTTTTACACCAGAGAGAGAGAGAGAGAGAGAGAGAGAGAGAGAGAGAGCTTTAATAATTCACAAAAAATTCGGACAACCTCTTTAACACACATTAGGAAACATCTACATGATTAACTAAATGTCGCTCAAATGAATTTTAAATTAAATTTCCCCTCCTTTTTCTTTTCAGAATTTATCATATGCTGCTGTCATATCTATGACTTATATTCTTCTAGTTTTTTTAGTTACTCAGAATATCAGTCTCCACTTACATATCGAAATAATTTAAGATTTACACACGCTCCTAGTTAATACTAGTTCATTACCAATTCTCCGCATCATATCAATTAAATGTATTCCTATGAAGAATTTAAAATACAATTTTTTGTTTTTAATAATTTATAACAAAAATTCATGATTTTTAGTTTCCTTATATAATAAGTGGATATCACTCCAACTCTCTATAAATCCCCTGTGCGGATCCAGGAATTAAAGTTAGAGGGGGCGCCCATAATCGGCAGAGGTCTGGTTTAAGCTGAATTCTAGAGATTTTGAGGTTAACCGAGTAGACATTTTTACATTTTCTCCATGAAACTATGATTTATGCTAACTTTGACAATTTTAGGGGGCGGATGCGACCCCCTTTAATCCGCCACTGGATTTTGTAATTGCAAACATTGTGTCCAACACAAAGATTAATTTTACAAAAGGATAAATACAGTCTCTAAATTTCTAGTAATTAATGAAAAAAACCCAGTGACCTTGACTGTGACCTGTATGTTAAAAATAGTTTTTTCGTTTTTAGTTAACCTTTGCAATAACTTTTGAACCACAAGAAATAGAGACTTCATTTTCTGTATCCATATTTTACTAATCATGTTCTCTCAAATGACACCAAGGTCAATTGCCTTGAAACCTTGACTGTGACATATGTGCCAAAAAGTTTTTTTTTTATATTTTGTCGTTTCCTGGCGCATAGTGTTTCACAAACAAATCTTGTTTTAAATTAATTTGTGATCATTTTTATTGATTGGATTTGTTGACGTCTTTTTATAAGCATAACGTCAACACAACGTTGCGTGTCCCATGTGTCCCAATTAATTATACTGGAAGAAGAATATCACTTTCTGATGATTTAAGTCAATCTAGGTGTTTGATGCAATTGAACTTTAATAACTCTGATTCTGGGCAAAGGAAATAAGAAGAGAGAGATTATATTTTAAATAATATTACCTTAAGTTTTGACCTCAATGC